TTTCGACGGTCCTATATGGGTCGACTGCGACATAAAGCTGTGCGTCGCTGGAGGTTGAATCATCACCATGGCTCACTTCCATTTCGAGCGCACCGTGGGGCTTTGCGTCCGGGGCGGTGTCTCGCGTTGTCTCCTTTCTTGCCTCCTTTCTGTCCTTTCTTGCCGTGTTTCCGCTCTTCCCTTTCCCTTCGCTTTTCCGGGCAATACCACTTGCAGTAGAACATTACAGCTCAAGGCGAGGCGAGGTACAAGCTAAGACCAACACGACCCAACCCTCACACAAGCAGATAACAAGGCTTCATGTAATGGGGAGCGTGGTGTCCGATTTGGGAGTACACGCCATGGGCTGTGGCATTGTCGCAACTTCCAATCTGAAGTCAAAGGTTCACATTGTGCATATTTCCTCACCACGAGCTCCTGTTTGCATCAAAGCAGTATAGGGCAAGTTTAAGTTGGAACTTCGAGTCCCGAATTTCGAGGCACATGGCGAGATCCAGCTTGGTGCCCAGAGTGATCTTGCGCCTGGCGATCACAGTAGCTCGTGTTCGGTGAGGTTCGTGTAGCTTTGTATATATACATATACATACACACATACAGGCTTTGTCATTGTCATCACCATTATTACTTGTACTTTCACTACCATTATTATTGCTATATGAATGTTGGTATTGTTATTAGTATTATTAATGTGATTCTGATTATTATGGTACGTTAGCTTGAATATGTTACAGGCATGTTATAGCACAAGCATTGGATGGACGAAAGCTTGCACCACGCACCGGTCGCCAAAGAATGCAAACAACTATAACCCATCACCTCTTTTCCGCCTGACTGGTGCAGTCTGCAGGACATGATGCGGTATAAGATTTCGGTCCATTGACTCGGTCTCGGGTCCGAGGTCTTGTTGATGATAGTTCTATGCGAAGAGGAGCAAGCAGCTCCAATTCCTGACTTGATTGAAGCTGTTGCAAGATTTCGCCAACCCTTTGGATTCTCCGTCCCGCGCAAGCTAGGGAGTGCCCTCGTCCCGCAAAGCCAGCGTCAGCAGATTTCTCGTCAAAAAGGGTCAGTTTAGTGTTTCAGATGTTTCGGCGAAGGCTCTGAGAAGATGTGCGGCTTCCTCAGGTTGCACTCATTGTTGGTGGTTTTCTCTGAACATCCCTGACAGTTGCGGAAACTTGTTTCATGGGAAACTCGTATACAGCGCAAACTATGTCAGCTTTGTTACTGTAGCTTTAGCTCTTTAGCTGTGCGTATGTGATTCATGCTCACGATTTGTGTGCCGATGACACTATACTTGCAGGCTGTGATCACGAACGGCCGGCCAAGACCAGCTAGAAGTGAGGGCAATGCTTTCTTTTGAAAGAGATGGGTCATTATGAGTCATTATCCACTCAGCAGAGAATTGTAATTGCATGCGTTTCCTGGCTCTGAGCTGCTTGGAGATTTGCAACTCTCTCTGCAGGCTGGCTTCGCTGCATACTTGCAGAACGTCGTACGCCAAGCTGATGCAGCGACGTCCTGCGGCACCGGCAGCGCAGGTGCCAAGAGTGATTGACCGTCTCATTGTCATGAGCATCTACCATGCTTGTTGGAATTGGGACTACGTTTTTCTTCTACCCGCTTGCTTGGCAGACTTGTCTTCGTTCTTTCGGATAGTCGGATAGTAACGTGGTTTGCGATTTGGGCACAGGCCCTGGAGAGTTTGGTGGCTATGCCGGCTAATTTCTAATACGGACTTTGCTCCGCGAAGTGTTGCGTTCCACCTTGCGCGGTGGAAAAGGAGTCGTTGAGGCTTCTCTGCACCTGCTGCCTGGCAGGCTTGGTGCGACAGCAACAACGAGCGAAAACAGCTGAAGACAGCAAGAGGTAACAACCAGGGAGACATCGGTGCATTCTTCTGACGCAGTTACGCGGCCTTTAGGGTGGAGTGCGCTTTGTCCAGACTGTTCAGGAGGCACAGTCTCGAAGCACCTTAGGTACCACGCTGTCGAACCGCGTCATTTCAAAACGAGCACTCTTCTACATGATTCTTGAACGCACGGTTCATACATATCTTCTGCAGCCTACCCCAAGCAGATTTCCGGAGGCGCTTCCAGAACAAAGGAATCATCGCACGCACATCCGTAGGGGTTACCCTCATGTAGTACCCGTAACCGTAGGATCGTTATTAGAAGGACCCCCAAATCAAGTATCCCTTGTTCACCGTTTGCCCTGTGCAAACTCTAAGATCATCAGGTCAGTGGTCGCAGCACTCGGACGCGTGTCTTGGCGGCACTCTGTTTCAGGTTGTCCGCAGAGTAGCTAACTCCAGATGTTTGCCACAGCACCGGCCGAGCTATCTTCAGCGTCAGGTAAACCCTAGGAAGAAACTGATCCAACACCCTTCGGATACTCCTGCTTTTTCTCGATGCAGTATCGGATGGGCCTTGTTGCTGAAGATAAGGCTGGGAGAGCATAGCAGCTACAACGGAGCTGAGGTTCTCATACACTGTATGCAGGAAACACAACGCATGAATACCATGATGTGTGAAAGAGTTGAGACCTGCTCGGACCTAGCCCTTCTTTGCACATGAAGTGCTTCGGTTTCACAAGCAACATCGGCTGGAAGCAACAACATCTGGGTTCTTGTTACGTGAATAATAGGGCTTCTTTACTATGGCAACTTAAACTAAGTCCGTTACAAGAACCCAGACATTCACAACCACCAGCAACACCACTCATCACTGCCACTGCCACCTCTGCCATCTCAACAGAGAGTTCTTTCGAGTGAGGAACGTCGCTTGGTTGCGGCCTTGCGATTCTCTGGCGGCGACGAGGATCTGGGGCAACTTAGCTTTGTATGACTTTCCCACCATCCTTTAGTAGCTCTTGGCTGCCGCCTCAACACATCATGGCTGACAGTTCCTCGCTGATGGTCTTGTACCGGCTTGAAGTTGCATGTAGCGGCAGTCTTGATGCCAGCAGCTGCACGCGAGCGGCATAAACGCAGCTCCACAAACAAGATTTCCTCTCGGTTGCGAGTTAGGTGCACCTTTCGGGTGCAAACCAGCTACCGGATGCCTGTCGTATGTTCACTTTATACGCTCAGCCAAACCAGCCTAGGACGGAACCATGAGCCTGCCAGACTAAGGGTGGACTATGCGACTGAGGCGGGCCGGTCATTGGGCTGGTGTTTCAAGTCGGAAGGCTTTCGCACGATTCATGAACAGTGGCCATAGTTCGAGTCTCTTTATGCCTGTCCCCGTTGCCATCTTCTTGTCCTGACTGTCAGCTCAACTACTAGCAAAGTTGAGAACGGGGTGGCTGCCGCTTTCTGAAACAGCCATCTGCACAGAATCCAAAGCCGCCTTGGGCTTCCAAGATTTCAAGCGGTCCGAGGCCACAGCAGCCCAAGGATCGAAGCCGGCGATCGTTGCCAACCTGGCCGAGCTCGGTGCTTCCCAGCGCCTGGATCAACAGACACCGAGCAGTGCTGAAGCAGTATTCTTGAAGTTTTCTTGCGAGCATCACATAACAGCATCCGAAATATACACTTACCAATGCTCTTGTGTTAGTTCGGTGGGACACAGGACCTTTTGAAAATCGCATCATGGCTCATTCACAGCCCGAAGCCCGAGACAGTTCGAATGCATACTCCTGGAAGGCATAAGAAACCTGCAGTTCAAAAAAAAGCCTTGCGCTCCCCGCAGGAGTCATCAGAGCCTCATTGAATGGCATTGGTTTGGCACGGCAGCGTGTTTTGCCAGCTTTCAGGTTGCTCCAGAGCTCTGCTGGCAGCCGCGCGCTCAGGAGTCCGGCGGTAGCAAGCGGCAGGCGTCAGCCGGCAATGGACATGGTAAAGGTAGACACGCCTGGCACAATTCATAGTCATAGTCATATTTATTCTAGCAGTCTAGTAGGTAATCTTCGACTGTTCGCGTGGTCGTACATACAGTATGCAGTATACTAATATTACATATTCGGTTGCCGACGGTGTTGGCGCCTTGTGTTTTTGTAGGGACTTAGGCACGTGGGTAGCAGTCCTACGATCCAAATCGTTGTGAAGTCGGTCATGAAGTTAGAAGCATGTCGGATGTGTTCGCGGCCCGTTCTATGTCGCATGCTTCTGTTTGTAGGCGGAGCGATTCAGGGCTTCGGGTTTAGTGTTCACAGTGAAGATAGTCTGGACAATCATGCATACCACACTCTCATGTTTGGTCCGCAGGATGCCTTTGAGCAAATCCGGTGCCACTTCACACTCTCTCACGCCTCTACGCCTTGCATACCGACGGCCACAAGCCCTACTCCCAGATGAAGTATGTCCAGCAGTCTGGCATAGATGTACACCCCAGTTGCACGTAAGCCTTTCAGGCCCGAATTCCCAATGTATCTGCTTGCCAGAGAGGAGAAACGATCGGAACTGGCCCTGGAATCTTGGCTAGAAAATCACCCTAAACCCTAAACCCTATGCCCTCTAAGCGTATAATCCGTAAGCTTTTCAGTGATCCTTAACTTATGACCACCCTCAGATCCTCGGCTTAATCACACTGAGCATCATAACAATAGGACGTGTCAGTACTACGAAACACCACCACGCCACCACGACAATAAGTGCTACTGCCGGCGAGTTTGGTACTTACAAACGGGACTGCTGCCAGTTGTACTGACCTCGGCAAATGGGGTAGTGCGTAATTAGAGCATTTTCCTCCGAGCAAACGAGATACCCTGCAATGACTATCACCAGGAATCAGCTGATACTCCTGGTGTGTTTCTGCTTACCTCTTGCTGCCCTACCAAGGGGGGCAGGGATGCCAAAGTCACCCACCAGGAGGGAGCACATCCGGCAAGTGGTGCTTTACAGAAGAGCTATGGAGTCTCGGTATGCTGCGCCGGCTGTTTTGGAAGCTTCTTGTGACAGCGCAGAGCCCCATCCCCGAAATGCCAGCCATGTTTTGACCCTCTTCGAGTGCCTTGCAGTGGGCAGGCATTGACGGGATATCAGCAGAGACAGCTGGACCATGCTGGACCAGAACGCGCTGGAGGTGGCAGCGTGGATTGAGAAGAGGACCTGGGTTTCTGTGGTCGTTTTGCACTATTCCAGGGCGCCGCAAGGAGAGGCAGTTTGATCCATAGGTGCTTCATGTCTCGACTTGTGTCGAAATGCAGGAATGCCGTGGAAGGCGGCCACACAGGACACAGTCGCCAGCTGCAAGTTGTTTACACGGTGCAGGAAAAGAGCGAGCGAAGCCGATGGCTTTACCCCATCGCATGCACGCTTCGCCTGCACTGTGGCACGGTCCGGAGTGTTCCCATTGCAACAAGTCTTGTATGAGTTCAATCACCCTTTACAATCGTGTTCCGCAAGCAACCTAAGTGTACACTCTTCAGTATTGACCTTTTTACATGACCCAGTCCAGTTCAGCTGAGGTCATGGCAAGCCGATGTTTTGGCTTACTGCCGTGATCTCTTCGCTGATCAACTTCCTCTTGCCTCCTGCCTCTGTTTCATGTGGGGCTTTCTTCGAATTGAAAAGGATCCTGCTTTGGTGCGCTGGAGTTGTAGTACATGAAATCCTAGACGGTGATCTCGAAGCTATACCTCCAGCACAAAACCCTGCAATCTAACATCTGAGCTGAATGGGTTCCCTAAACCCCTAAACCCCTGAACCCTTCTTTTCTGAAGTTCCCATATCATCCCGGAAGCCCGAACCCTGAGGCTTTTCCACCGTCCTTCCCGAACCCTTCGCGCAGCCAAGGAATCCGGTGGTTTTCTTCGCGACCTTTGTGCGGAAGATTGGCGAACGTGTCACGGGACAGCTCGAGCGGCAGTAATTACCCTACAAGCCCCTTGATTTCCGAGCATCTGTCCTCCCCCGCCACCACCCCAACAACCTTTACTCTTGAATCCTGAACCCGAAACCTGAACCTCAAACTCGAATTACTAGCATCCGTTTCATGAGTTTTTTGCTGCAGATACCTCTAGACTACGCTTCATCATCCGGCAGAGCCTTGGTAGACCTTTGAGGATGTGCAGCCACGCAGTCGGGGTTGAGAGTTTAGAGTTTGGGGTTTAGGGTTTGTCATGTAAAACAAAAAGTAAAGACCGAAGCATGGCGCCCACAGTTGGGTGAAACTATAGGACTCGGAGAACGTCTCACGAGCACGCAGGCAAGCGCCCTAAATTAGTCTGCGAAATTCGTGGAGCGGCCTTGAGATGCGGGGAATGGAAACGTGCGCACGGTTATTGTATGCCTCAAGCAACAATCGCATGCGTGGGTGTGTACCTAGACACATGTAGGCGTACATACGTACACATTTATTCAGTGTGTCTAGATGTCGAGCCCCAGACTCTTCGCCTCTGGCAGCAGACATATGCCTCCCGTTTCTTGGTGCACGTACAATGGAATATAGCCCGAATGAAGTGTATGTGCTCGAGTCTACATTCTGTGTGTCGCAGCCCGAGGCAGCTCTGCGCGTCGACTCTGGGAAACGGACAACGTTCAAGAATTCGTCAGGCACTTGGCTGGTGACGATTACAGCGCGTCTCGGCCTGTGTTCATTTCTTGCGGCTCATGAGATTTCCGAGTCCTGTGACTTGTAGGCTTTACATCCGTTGTCTATCGTAGCTCGTCATCATCGTCATATTCACCTTCATCATCATAATAATTCGCGACAGGCACAGTCGTCACTCTTCAGCAGATGAGCGAAGGGGTACGCAGGCCCGGTAAGGGACTGGTGTACCAGGCTATTGAGACATGTTATGCAAGCAACGGAGAACTAGGGCTTATGATTCGGGATGTAAAGGGCAAGTATTCGCACAGAAACCTCAAACATTAAACCCATCGAAACCCTAAGCCCTACACCCAACATTGCGAAACAAGACTGTGGAATTTTGCACTGGCACTCACCTGGCCGATAGCCTGTCGGCATGTGAGGAGTATCATGCACAGCTGCCGGCCCTCGAAGTGACTTGAACGTTTCAGGGTTGCGGTTCAGGCTTTTAAGGTTCTTCAGTGTTTAGGGGTTTTCGAGATGGGAGTCCTTGGACCCGATAGCCTACTTTCGTCAAGAGCTCAGGGACCGGAGTCCGGTGACCCTGACCCTGGGAGAGTCGCAGTTTTGAGGAGGTTAGAGCAGAACGAGGTTAGTGTCAGCAAAACCCCAAAAACCCTAAAGCTTTTGATTTCTGGAAAAAAACCAAGAGTTCAGGCCCAGGGACGGCCTCAACAAAGAGCAGAGAAGCTTCAACCCGGCGCAACCCGAAAAGCAGTTAGTCCAGGGGCCTTAATAATTAGAATAGGGTTTTGGGGCCCATTATATAGGGCGACCACTTCTCGGAGCATCCCGCGAAGATATTTTGGATTCCGCTTTTTCTCGCCCAAACCCTAAACCCTGACTTTGAAACCCTGAACTAAAAACCTAACTTAAACCCTGAATTCAAAACCTTGGTCATCAATGCCACTGCCAGCCCATTTCTTGCTAGCACCCCGGGCATCACCCGCTGAGAGCACGCCAAGCAGAATATGATGCTTCTGATACGCAAGCGGCTGAAGGCGGCTATCGGGTAAGGCAAGACAGTGTCCTAACACCTAAACCCTGAGCTCTAGGCTTGAAAAAGAATTCCTTTAAGCATTAAATCCGCTGCCCGAGGCAGCCCATCCTTCCGCTGCGGCGGGGACATCGTGGCGGCGACGTTGGAAGATGTGCCCGAAGATGCTATTATTAGCAAGATGGTGGCAGAAATTCCGCCAGATAACCCCAAAACCCTAAACCCGAGGACCCTAGACCCAAAGCCCTAATAGTGCATCAACGTACCAACGGCGTTAGGTAGGCTAGGCTAGGGTTGACAAGGGTTCGCCAAGGGTCGGCGTTAGGTAGGCTAGGCTAGGGTTGACAAGGGTTCGCCAAGGGTCGGCGTTAGGCAGGCTAAGGTTGAGGGTCCGCCACGGGTCGGCGTTAGGTAGGCTAGGGTTGACAAGGGTCCGCCACGGGTCGGCGTTAGGTAGTCTAGGGTTGACAAGGGTTCGCCAAGGGTCGGCGTTAGGTAGGCTAAGGTTGAGGGTCCGCCACGGGTCGGCGTTAGGTAGTCTAGGGTTGACAAGGGTTCGCCAAGGGTCGGCGTTAGGTAGGCTCGCTTGAAGGTTCGCCATGGGTCAGCGTTAGGTAGTATCGGTTGAGGGTTCGCCATGGGTCGGCGTTAGGTAGTAGGTAGCCTAGGTTAAGCATTGGCCGTTTGCACCGAACCAGAACCACAAGGTTTAGTTAGATCCACAGAGTTTTTTCGACACAACTGACTCTTAACAACTTTTAAAGACAAAAAAAACTTTAAAAGACTTTTATAGACTTTAAAAGACTTTTAACAACTTCAAAAGACTTTTAACAACTTTAAAAGACTTTTAAACACTTTAAAAGACTTTTAAACATGTTAAAATACTTTTAAAAAATAAAAATTTTAAAAAGCTTTAACCGACTTTTAACAACTCTAAAATATTTTTAAAAACTTTAAAAGACTTCAACACATTGTTAACTACAAAAAAATAACATGTTTTTCAGTTTTAAGTTTTTTTCCAAGAAGACGAAGATGAAGAAGACCTGGCACAGGGTTGAAAGTTTCAGGGTCTTTAGGGTTTGGGGTTAGAAGGCAGAGTGCCATAGCAATAGGGTTTGAGGGTAATGAGAGGGTTTGGGTTAGTGTTTCAGGGTTTTAGGTTTAGGGTTAGAAGGCACAGTGCCATGGTTCGCCAGTGCAGTTTTTGTTGAGAAACTGCGCGTTTGGCGCCCTGGCCAGTTTGCAGCGAAGCTAACATGCCTTTAAAGGGGGCTTCGCCTTAAGCCCTAAGATTAACTTTTTTGGGAACGAGTTCGAGACTTCTAACCATGCTGCTCTTTTTTCATCTGTCGGTTTCTGACTTTCAACGATGCTGCTTCGTGACTGTCTCGGGCTCTCGCGGGGACTGCTGTCTTTGGCTGTCGCGGGGACTGTGACTGTTTCGGGCCCCCGCGGGGACTGTTTCGGTTTCGTGGGCTTCGCCTTAAGCCCTAAAATAAACTTTTTTGGGAACGAGTTTGAGACTTCTAACCATGCTGATCTTTTTCATCTGTCGGTTTCTGACTTTCAACGACGCTGCTTCGTGACTGTCTCGGGCTCTCGCGGGGACTGCTGTGTTTGGCTGTCGCGGGGACTGTGACTGTTTCGGGCTCCCGCGGGGACTGTTTCGGTTTCGTGGGGACTGTTTTGGGCTCTGACGGGGGGATTGTTTCAAGCTGCACGGGGGCTGTGTCGGGCTCTCGCAAGGACTCAGGCCGGAAATATGTCATGCTTCTTTCTGTAAGGTGGAAAATACGACACATTTCCGGCCTGAAATGTGTCATGCTTCTTTCTGTAAGGCGGAAACGATGACACATTTCTGGCCTGAAATGTGTCATGCTTCTTTCTGTAAGGCGGAAAAGATGACACATTTCCGGCCTGAAATGTGTCATGCTTCTTTCTGTAAGCCGGAAAAGATGACACATTTCAGGCCTGAAAAGTGTCATGCTTCTTTCTGTAAGGCGCACACGATGACACATTTCGGCCTGAAATGTGTCATGCTTCTTTCTGTAAGGCGGAAAAGATGACACATTTCCGGCCTGAAATGTGTCATGCTTCTTTCTGTAAGGCGGACAAGATGACACATTTCCGGCCTGAAATGTGTCATGCTTCTTTTTGTAAGGCGGAAAAACATGACACATTTCCGGCCTGAAAGGTGACATGCTTCGTTCTGTAAGGCGGAAAAGATGACACATTTCCGGCCTGAAATGTGTCATGCTTCTTTCTGTAAGGCGGAAACGATGACACATTTCCGGCCTGAAATGTGTCATGCTTCTTTCTGTAAGGCGGAAACGATGACACATTTCCGGCCTGAAATGTGTCATGCTTCTTTCTGTAAGGCGGAAAAGATGACACATTTCCGGCCTGAAAATGTGTCATGCTTCGTTCTGTAAGGCGGAAAAGATGACACATTTCCGGCCTGACACATTTCCGGCCTGAAATGTGTCATGCTTCTTTCTGTAAGGCGGAAAAGATGACACATTTCCGGCCTGAAATGTGTCATGCTTCTTTCTGTAAGGCGGAAAGATGACACATTTCCGGCCTGAAATGTGTCATGCTTCTTTCTGTAAGGCGGAAAAGATGACACATTTCCGGCCTGAAATGTGTCATGCTTCCTTCTGTAAGCCGGAAAAGATGACACATTTCCGGCCTGAAATGTGTCATGCTTCTTTCTGTAAGGCGGAAAAGATGACACATTTCCGGCCTGAAATGTGTCATGCTTCTTTCTGTAAGGCGGAAACGGCCTGAAATGTGTCATGCTTCTTTCTGTAAGGCGGAAAAGATGACACAGTTCCGGCCTGAAATGTGTCATGCTTCTTTCTGTATGGCGGAAACGATGACACATTTCCGGCCTGAAATGTGTCATGCTTCTTTCTGTATGGCGGAAAAGATGACACATTTCCGGCCTGAAATGTGTCATGCTTCTTTCTGTAAGGCGGAAACGATGACACATTTCCGGCCTGAAAAGTGTCATGCTTCTTTCTGTAAGGCGGAAAAGATGACACATTTCCGGCCTGAAATGTGTCATGCTTCTTTCTGTAAGGCGGACAAGATGACACATTTCGGGCCTGAAATGTGTCATGCTTCTTTCTGTAAGGCGGACAAGATGACACATTTCGGGCCTGAAATGTGTCATGCTTCTTTCTGTAAGGCGGAAAAGATGACACATTTCCGTCCTGAAATGTGTCATGCTTCGTTCTGTAAGGCGCAAAAGATGACACATTTCCGGCCTGAAATGTGTCATGCTTCTTTCTGTAAGGCGGAAACGATGACACATTTCCGGCCTGAAATGTGTCATGCTTCTTTCTGTAAGGCGGAAACGATAGCACATTTCCGGCCTGAAATGTGTCATGCTTCTTCCTGTAAGGCGGACAAGATGACACATTTCCGGCCTGAAATGTGTCATGCTTCTTTCTGTAAGGCGGAAAAGATGACACATTTCCGGCCTGAAATGTGTCATGCTTCTTTCTGTAAGGCGGAAAAAGATGACACGTTTCCGGCCGGTATTGTGTCATGCGTCTTTCTGTAAGGCGAAAAAGATGACACATTTCCGGCCTGAAATGTGTCATGCTTCTTTCTGTAAGGCGGACAAGATGACACATTTCGGGCCTGAAATGTGTCATGCTTCTTTCTGTATGGCGGAAAAGATGACACATTTCCGGCCTGAAATGTGTCATGCTTCTTTCTGTAAGGCGGACAAGATGACACATTTCGGGCCTGAAATGTGTCATGCTTCTTTCTGTAAGGCGGACAAGATGACACATTTCCGGCCTGAAATGTGTCATGCTTCTTTCTGTATGGCGGAAACGATGACACATTTCCGGCCTGAAATGTGTCATGCTTCTTTCTGTAAGGCGGAAAAGATGACACATTTCCGGCCTGAAATGTGTCATGCTTCTTTCTGTAAGGCGGAAAAGATGACGCATCTCCGGCCTGAAATGTGTCATGCTTCTTTCTGTAAGGCGGAAAAGATGACACATTTCCGGCCTGAAATGTGTCATGCTTCTTTCTGTAAGGCGGACACGATGACACATTGCCGGCATGAAATGTGTCATGCTTCTTTCTGTAAGCCGGAAAAAGATGACACATTTCCGGCCTGAAATGTGTCATGCTTCTTTCTGTAAGGCGGAAAAGATGACACATTTCTGAAATGGTCATGCTTCTTTCTGTAAGGCGGAGATGACACACATGCTTCGTTCTGTATGACACATTTCCGGCCTGAAATGTGTCATGCTTCTTTCTGTAAGGCGGAAAAGATGACACATTTCGGCCTGAAATGCGTCATGCTTCTTTCTGTAAGGCGGAAACGATGACACTTTTCCGGCCTGAAATGTGTCATGCTTCGTTCTGTAAGGCGGAAAAGATGACACATTTCCGGCCTGAATGTGTCATGCTTCTTTCTGTAAGGCGGAAAAGATGACACATTTCCGGCCTGAAATGTGTCATGCTTCCTTCTGTAAGGCGGAAAAGATGACACATTTCCGGCCTGAAATGTGTCATGCTGCTTTCTGTAAGGCGGAAACGATGACACATTTCCGGCCTGAAATGTGTCATGCTTCTTTCTGTAAGGCGGAAAAGATGACACATTGCCGGCCTGAAATGTGTCATGCTTCTTTCTGTAAGGCGGAAAAGATGACACATTGCCGGCCTGAAATGTGTCATGCTTCTTTCTGTAAGGCGGAAAAGATGACACATTGCCGGCCTGAAATGTGTCATGCTTCTTTCTGTAAGGCGGAAAAGATGACACATTGCCGGCCTGAAATGTGTCATGCTTCTTTCTGTAAGGCGGAAAACCCGCCCCCCGACCCCGCCCCGCCCCCCAAACCTCAAGCCCTCCGCCCTTCCCGGCCCCTCCGCCTGCCCACTCTTGCCCTGCCCCCTGCCCTGCCCCCTGCTCTTTCGCATTCGGGCCTGCCGTCGTGGCGAGGATTTCCGGTTTTCGTCGCAGATTTGGGGGCTTTCGTGGCGAGGATTTCGAGCTTTCGTGGCAGGTTTTCGGGGCTTTCGTGGCGAAGTTTTCCGGTTGTCTTAAAAGGATTTCGGGCTTTCGTGGGGACGATTTCCGGCTTTTCGTGCTTTTGTGGGCGGATTTCGGACTTTCTTGGCGAGGATTTCGGGCTGCGAGGGTTTGCTCACAC